CCAAAGCACAGCAGGGCGTTTAAAGCCGGATGGACCGACGAAAAATATGCGACAGCGTCACAGGCTGTCATTTTCTATTTGCATTTTTTATTTTCTATTCTGCTCTTTCCCTCACGCTGAGCAGACATTGAGAGTACGGACGCGGACATGGGCACGGACACAGATAAGGACATGGACTGCGGACACGGACAAGAACGCAGACGCAGACAAAACCCGGACACGCGTGGACACGGATGCGGTCAGCTCGCCACCAGTTGCTCTCCCAACAGATTCGCTTACACAGACTTAAAAAAGCAGTCAAACGTACTACACAAACAACTGACACCAGCCAGCCAGCCAGCCGCTGCTCCTGACCTCTGGTGGCGCTGCTGGTAGTGCGGTGACACGGTCACGTACTGGGCGCCCAGGTCAGCACTGCCGCAGCCCTCGGGGCCTCGCGAGGTCGAGAGACGACCGCCTGCGGGCATCGGTCGGGTCAGGCGCGTCCTCCGACCGCAACAGCACGAGAGTGGCGTGACCAAATACCGCGAAGCTGACGAGTACACAGAGCATTGTAAACCTGACCTGGACTGTCGTGCGTCACGTCTAGTTCGCGAGCCTTGGCCAATGACAGGTTACATGGTGCATTGACTCACATCTTCCAAGGTTACATGGTGTGTTGACTCACTTCTTCAAGGTTACATGGTGCATTGACTCACATCTTCCACCTGCCCCAATATCTTGTCATGCCTGCTCCACCTGGTCCATGGCTGCTATCTGTTCACACCCAGCCTGGTCGCGCCTGCTTCGTTCCGAAATACGTGCCCGCTCCTCAGGTGTTTTGCCGCATTGCCCGCCTGCTCCATCGACATTGTGCAAACCTATGTCAAAGTTGTGGCAAAATTCTTCCCCTTATAAGTTACCTCACGATACTGACCCATTCCCATGAGACCTAACTTGCAGCACCTGTCAGTTCCTTGGGCCTTATGTATCCCATCCTTTAGGCCTTGTTTACCCCATCCTTTAGGCCTTGCGTCCCCTTGAGCCTTCTGCCTGGCATCACCTGCCAGCCCAGCCTGGCATCAAAGGACCTACCTGCCCCTCGTGCCTTGTCCCAGATGGCCAGCTGGCAGCGAGACTGCAGCTCCTCTCAGCAGACATGATGTCACGGCGAGGTCAGCCCGCCGCCCACCACCAGCACACGTGGGGTCATCTGCCGAGGGTGGGCATGATCAGCAGGGCTGAATGTAGCCAGGGGAGAGGGTGCATGTCATGTTAGCAGAGCTAGGTGCAGCCAGATGAAGAGGGTGTACTGTCATGTCAGCAGACTGAGGGAGCTGCTGCTGGGGACAGGGTGCTTTGGTTGAGGAGAGCAGTGCCAAATGTGGGGATCAAAGGGAGAGCCCATATCAAATGGAAAGACCATCGCCACATGGAGGCAGCATTCTTAAACTCATCCAGCAGGTGTTTAGGATGCAAGCATAAATTATTGCTGCCAGAATCCTGTCTCTCCAGCTGTCTTCACACTATTGACAGAGCTAATCCATTGCCTTTTGATCCCAAACCTAGACATCTAACCTGCCCACCCCATTTCTCAAGCATGTGCTGAGATGCTAGGATCACCACCACCAGATGGGGCAACCAGCAGTGATCCCCAAGCTGAGGTCAGCCTGGGGTGCATTGTCTGTGAAGATGTGGGGTGCAATAAAATAAAATTGATTCCGCTGATACCCAAGCAGCCAAATATTAACACACACATGGAAGAACAGTGCTCAGAGGGAGTGGGCACCACCAGACTGGGCTGTGTTGCTCCGTCACCACAAGAAAGTGTGCTTAGAGAGAGGGAGCACCACCAGACTGAGCTGCATTGCTCTGTCACCAGGGTGAGGGGTGCCATCTGAGCAAATAAACTGGGTGATTAGAACCATGCAATCTGACTGATGATATGCCATCTAGGAAAAAGCCCTCTGAAAGAAGGTGGTATTGTAAGAAAGGGGTCAGATCATGAGTTATGTTTAAAAACATGCATGGATACATAATGCTTCTATGACAAGAAACCTGTAGATGTCTCATCTTACATATATAATGCAAGGTACATCAGGCATACTTGGTAGGCCAATGCAATGATAGCCAAAAAGTGATGGTAGGCCAAAAGGTGTGGCCTTTATTTGCTCGCAAATCATGGAGCTCATTTGCCTTTGACTGTGTAAAATACTTAATTATAATGCACATTTAGCTACAGGTGTGTAGTTTACAAAATGAGTTGAGGGGTTCCTGAACAATGAAAAGTGGTGCAACCTGCCCCCAAACTACACCAACAAACAGATTTCTTCCCGAATTTTGACTATTTTCTTCTCAAATTAGGGGGATAAAGCCTCCCCAACTGAATAAGAAATCACACTCCTCTTTTCTTACCTTGAATACTGCCCACGTAATAACAGCACAGACTTACA